TGTTTTCAGCATCAAGCTAACATACGTATTTGTATTTATGTTCATTAACTCTATTTAATATATGGTATAAATAGGTAGTTATGGGATGCAGTTAAGGATTGACAGTTAATACMTGTTCCTTGATGGAAGGAACCGTTACATCCCTTGTGGCGCCATTTTGAGATTAAAATACAGAAGTCAATCCTGGTGTTTCATTCTCCCGCAAGAACACAAAAAGGACTCTGTATCTGTCCCATCCAGAGGAGTACTCCAGTGTGTATCTGCAGAAGAACATGGAACAAAATCAGAACACAGCAKCTACATCTTCTGGTCAAGGTTAGTGTTTAATCATATTGCTTTAGATCAATAGATTCACAATCTGATGGATTTACTGTTTTATGGAAAACAAAAGTCTTACATTAATTCCTCTGTTTGTTAGTATTCAGATACTTCGTTGTTATAATTTGGTGCTGGATATGTTATACATTAAGGGATTGTTTACTAAATGTTTATCGGATAAGTGCTTGCTCAGTGTCATTGTCACTTGCTTTAGTGGGTAGCATGGTAAAAAACCAAAAATCTTATTCGGTAAAAGACATATAAATAATCGTTAATCTTACCTGATAAGCGCTTACCGGGTAAAATATGCTTACTCACAATCAATTYTGATAGCTTAAAATGTTACACAATAAAGTAAGTGAGAGAGGTCACTATTGCAGATAAACGCTTATCCGGTAAGCATTTGGTAAATAGTCCATAAATTTAACTTTTGTGTACATTTAAAAATGTGAAACTTAGGTTAAAAGTATATTTTGTTGTTCATATTTAACTGTCTCTCACATTTGGTGTTTGGTTCRATTTTTTGACTCGTCACATATCGTATATATATAGAAGGTTTTTTTTTATCGGTCGTAATTCCGTATTCACAGCAAGTGTTCAACGGAAAATTAAGAACATTTATAACAAGAACTATAAACTGAAACCAAAGGGTATTTAACGGTATTGTAGTCTTTGGCCTCCTAGAAGGTCAGAGGTTCAAACCTCATTAAAAGTGAGGAGGGTGTGTAAATTTATTTGTTGCATTTGTCGTATATAAATATTATATACTTAAAAAAACTATAAAATAAAGAAATAGAAGATTTAAAAAAAATCTCACTCCAAAACGGTCAGACATAATGACTATTTATCAGTATATTTTTCTTCAGTTCTCATATCAAACAACACACAAGTATCAATTAAGTAAAGAGCAAATTGCATGAAAAAAATAATGTACTTTAACTTGATTCATATACTTTCAAAACTTCCATTTTGATACATAAGATGTTAAATTTTAAACATTTAAGTACTCRGGTAACCGGTTGAAGCATTTAACCGGTTACCATGTTGATGTAACGAGTGATGAGATGAAATTAGGGTGAATAACAAATAATATTGAGTTTGATACCACATCACTCGCCACATCAGCATGGTAAACCGGTTAATGCTTCAACCGGTTACCCGAGTACTTAAATATTTAAAACTTTACATCTTAGGTACCAAAATGAAAATTTTGAAAATACGTTAGTCAAAATATGAATCAAATTAAAGTACGTTGTTTTTCATGCAATTTACCCTTAATTAAATCATATATAGTTTTTAGTGTGTAATGTGTATATAGAGGCTAAATCGAATGGGAACCACAAAAATTTTGAGAACCAGAGAACCGATCTAAGCTTTAATTTGGTTTTGATCCTATGGTTTTAATTGAAAGTTGTTATATTTAAAAAAAAAAAGGCATAATCTTTATTTAAGTAACAAGATTCGCTAGATGAAACATAAAAATTTATTCACCATATGAAACACACATATTCACTAGGTGAAACACATACTCACCATGTTATTTCACCTCATGAAACTGAATACAATTTTCATGAATATGTTATTTCACCTCATGAAATCCAAACATTAGTGTTCATATATATATATAGGGGCCTATTCAAAGGAGAACTGAGTTGTTTATGGTAACTGTGATAACCAATATTAACCACAAATCAATAGATAAATTAAGAAATTTATAAATTTAGTAATTTTCATATCTAATCTATTTCATCCCATGAAATCAAACGAAACTGAAATCGGAAATTCGCAAATTGATTTTGTATCGTTGGAAAATCGATTCAAAATTTGTGAATTAGGACATGTAACATAATTCTTCGGTCAAGCGAAGGATGACGAGATACTGGCGATGCTTGGTGCGAGTGTATCAAGAAAATCTACTTTGATTGATGCTTTGGCGAATCAAGTTGCAAAAGGAAGTTTGAAAGGACAATGACTTTTGAACGACAAACAGTTAGTTGTCGAGATTATTGAAGGTATATTGATAAAGACAAAAGAACTTGAATTGATGCACAGTGGAAACCATTTTACCATTTTGTCGTTATAGATTATGCAAACCCATTACATTGCAACACGTTACTTCTAGAAACTCACCTTTCATATTGAACCTATTACAAGAATGGAAGACATATTATTGTACAGCTAAAACGGAAATACTTGTTGGAGGTGCACAAAGAAGAAAAGGGGGTAATAAAGATTTTCAGGTTTTGGGTGTTTGTAATCTAAAAATCGATTACGAGTAACAATCTGGAGTTGAACCTAAAGTGCAAAATGCTGAAGATCGATTATGAGAAGTACGATTTCAAGGTTTGGGTGTTTATTGATTGGAGTTGTAGGTGGGTGGCTAACGATGGGGTGGGATGGTTACAGGTTAAGTCGTTGAGGGGGCAGGGTTCACGATGCCGGAAATGGGGATGCCGATTAGAGCCGCAAATTGGGGGGGAGGGGGAGGTAGGGTTATAATATTTAAATATATATTAAAAATGGGTAAGGGGCCGTCTATTAAATACTTACTTGGTAAGTGCTTACCGGATAAATTTCTTTATCGGATGAATATGAGAAAGGTCAAGAATCTTACCTGGTAAGAGCAATGAAAATGATAAAGAGTCTTACCCGGTAAGTAAGGATGACGACTTTTACCTATTAACTTGTTGCATTCAATATGTCTTGATGTATTAAAATCTTACGTATCAAAATAAAGTATAATGCTGAATCCTATCGGTAAACATTTACCGGATAAACATTTAGGTAAACGGCCCCTTACTTGGTAAGTGCTTATCGGTAAAATTTAACACTATTATTTACTTACCGGGTAAGATTTTAGTCTACCAAAACGACATCGTATGCAACGATTTATCCGGTAAGCGCTTGGTAAGAGTCGTGGCCCTCACTTACCGGGTAAGACTCTTGGTCATTCTCTCGTTCTTACTGAGTAAGATTCTTGGTCTTTGCCATATTCATGCGGTGAGGTAATGTTACTTGGTAAACACTTACGAGGTAATCGTTTGGTAAACGACCCCTAATCCCTAATTTTATTGTAGTTAACGAAAATAGATAACGGTCATTAGTGAAAGAACTGAAAACCAAACGATTTTAATACATACAAAATATATAAAGAACATGGACTTGTTTTGTCATAAATAAAAAATGTGAGGGACTAAATCCAAAATTTACACATTTCGTATATTTTTGCGAAAAATATCATCAACCACATGATATTTGTAATCTAGCCATAGCCTCGATAACAGTTCTACGGCTGTGTAGTGTGTACCTGTGGTGTGTGGTCTCTCCAACACCTACCATCCCAACGTCACACTTTCTTCGCCACAAATTTGTGATTTGATTCATCAATGTGCTTATCAACTTATCAATTTGCTTCCGATCGTTCATCATCAATTGTGATTTGAGTCAATTGGTAAGCTCTGTTTCTTCATTTTCTCACGAACCCTAACATCCTCCAAATTTTGCATGCAATAATTTTGAACTGAATCCTTACAATATCAGGTTCGAGATTTAGTTTTTTAAATCGACATTGCTTAATTTTTGAAATTTGTGGATGTAAACTCAAATTCACTACTTTTTTCGGTCTGAGTTATTGTTAAAATCTTAATTTGTGAATATGAACTCAAGTTTACAAGTTTTCACATCTAGGGTTTTGCTGAACTCTTGAATTGATAAGTTCAAACTAAGGATTGCGAGTTTTCTGCATCTGGTTTATTGCTTATTGGACAATAATGGCTTCTTCAATGCTGTATGGAGCTGAAAATCTTGCAATTGTAAGAGGAAGAATAGCCCCAAATGGATTAGGGTTTAATGGGTCAGAATTACATGGAAGAAAGAGTCTTCCCAAAATCAATTTGGTTTTTGGGAATTCCAATTTGAGAAGTAGAACCCTAGTTTTACCCAAATGCAGTGTTTCTGTTCCAAGGCCAGCTTCACAGCCTAGATTCATCCAACACAAAAAAGAGGCATTTTGGTTCTATAGGTTTTTGTCAATTGTGTATGATCATGTGATAAACCCTGGTCATTGGACCGAAGATATGAGAGACGAAGCATTAGAACCGGCTGATCTCCATAGCCGGAATATGATTGTGGTGGATGTTGGTGGAGGTACAGGGTTCACAACTTTGGGTATTGTGAAAAATGTTGATGCTAAGAATGTTACCATTTTGGATCAATCACCCCACCAGCTTGCGAAAGCGAAGCAAAAGGAGCCGTTGAAGGAATGCAAGATCATTGAAGGAGATGCTGAGGATCTTCCATTCAAAACCGACTATGCCGATAGATATGTATCTGCCGGAAGGTATATATATATATATATATATATAATATGTACACACGCACTCGAACTTCATCTTGTGTTTTTCCTTGTCTGCATTTGTTGATGATACCTCTTTTAGATGGAGTCATCATATTGTACTTTGTTGTAAACTAACCATTATTCTTGTAAAAATGCAACAAAAAGACAGGTTCCTAAGAATGAGCGATTTTGGACAGATTGTATATATATAGGGTCAGGTTAAGGGAAAACTGCAAAAATAATAATATGAAAAACCGAGGAACACCCTAGCAACCATTCATTTGTACGGTATGCAAATGCACATGTGCAGACAAATTACTTACAAATTATGGGGGTTTTCCCCTGAACCTCATTCTCTCTCTCTCTCTCTCTCTCTATATATATATATACACACACACACACAAAAAAAAAAAAACCATTACACTTGATAGTATTTGTCTGAGGGGATGTTTACCAAATGTTTACCTAGGTAAATGTTTACTAAATCACATTACCTTACCGGATGCATATGGCAAGGACCAAAAATCTTAGCGGTAAGAACAAAGGCAAGGACCGAAGGTCTTACCCGGTAAGTGCGGAAGACGACTCTTACCACGGTTAGTGCTTACCTGGTAAGTTGTTCCATAGATATCGTTTTGTTGGACTAAAGTCCTACTTGATAAGTAAGTTATAATGTTGAATTATGCCGGTAAGCGTTTGGTAAACGGCCCCTAAGTCATTCATTTCTGGCGAAGTATTTTTGGCCTTTCTATGCATTTTTACAGAAATAATGGTCTGGGTGGCGATCCTCTGTCAATTTGAATTATTATTTTTATGGAACATCAATAGGGTGAGGCTTTTTTATCACCAAGGGGAAGTTCAAATGAGAACCATAAAATTTTTGAGAACATAATGAATAATCATGAATATTCAGTATGAATATCATGCATTTTCGGTATGAATAATTATCATCATGATATCTATCACAACATTCATCATGGATAAAACATGAATAGTTGGTTCCCAGGTTTTCACAATAGTTGCACTTCTCATTTGAACCTGCGTCTAGCACACTAATAGAACCTTATTCTCGGAACAGTAGTCAAACTTGAAGCACCATGCTTTTTAAGTTTCAGACACGAAATTTAAAACGTTTTTGTGTTCTTAGAGATCGGAACTTCTCTAACAATCTTACGGGTTCGGGCTGTGTGGTTCTTTTTCTTGCAGCATCGAGTACTGGCCGGACCCACAACGAGGCATCAAAGAAGCATACAGGGTTCTAAAGATAGGAGGAAAGGCATGTCTAATTGGCCCTGTCTATCCCACGTATTGGTTATCTCGTTTCTTTGCAGACATGTGGATGCTCTTTCCAAAAGAGGAAGAGTACATCGAGTGGTTCGAAAAAGCTGGATTCAAAGATGTCAAAATCAAGAGGATCGGCCCAAAATGGTATCGTGGGGTGCGTCGCCATGGTTTGATCATGGGGTGCTCTGTTACTGGAGTCAAACCCGCATCAGGGGATTCACCGTTGGAGGTAATGTCTTCTTACTCATTAGCCATCTGTAAAAGGTCTTCTGTGCGTTTGATATGCGGGATAGGACAATGCAAAAACTCGTTGCTCCATGTTTTGCGTGATATTAGATTCGAGTAGGACAAAAATGCAATTTTTGCCGTCCCACCAAAATAGATAGAACAAAAATAAGGAGATGGAACAGGATTGGTAAATTACTAAACTACCATGCAAACCTTTGAGCATTCTTTCACGAGCTTACCTCACTCTCACCCGACCGGTCCTGTTTGCCTACCAAATGCTTGAGTATGTCTAACTTCTAATAGTCATGTTTGGTGAAAACTAGTTATAAAATGACCTAAAAGAATATATTGAAAAATGACTTGATTTTAACGTATAAGGGGCATAATTGGAAAAAAGTGGAAAAAGATAGAAGTCCTAGAGCTTATTGAAAAGCTATATGAAGTAGTGGTTGGTTGTTAAGCTAGTTGTTGACCGATAACCTAGTTGTAAGACCTAAAAGGATATGTTGAAAAATTACTCAATTTTATTGTATAGGTTGGGCATAATTGGAAAAAAGTGGGGAAAATGTGGAAAGGTCTTTGAAAAGCTATCTGAAGTTGCGGTTGGTTGTTGAGCTAGTTGTTGACTGATAAACTAGTCATGACTAGTAAAAACTATTTGATAAGTTAGATGACAATGTAAAATGACCTAAAAGGACAAGTTGAAAAATTACGTAATTCTAACACGTAAAGGGCATAATCGGAAAAAAGTGAAAAAGAACTCCTGGAGTTCATTGAAAAGCTATTCAAAGCGATTTTCTTCAAAAAGCTAGCTTGTAAGCTAGTTTATGGCTTACCAAACGAGACTTTTTCATTTTGTGTTTATTTATTATTATCGTCTGTTGCAGCTCGGCCCCAAAGTAGAGGACATCGAGAAGCCCGTGAACCCATTCGTGTTTCTGGCCCGCTTTCTTCTGGGAGCCATGGCTGGAGTCTACTATGTGCTGGTCCCTGTTTACATGTGGCTCAAGGACCAAATTGTCCCAAAAGGTCAACCAATCTGAGAGATGGCTAGTTGCTTTCTGGTTTGTATCCTCATGATTTTCTGGTTTTCAATTTTAACTTCAAAACTGTGGTTTGTGAATGTCTCTTAGAATTCAAGCACTCTGTTTTCTCTTTGAAGTATTTGACCATTAAGCTTTACAATTTTGTGCAAAATTGTTGTGGGTTCGATACAAGCTTTTGGGTGGGGTCGGGTCGGGTCGGGCTCGTGAACTTGTCGAACGTGTTCAATGAGGCGCGTCCAATTGGATGAGTAAATTACGGTTTTTGTGCTCGTGGTTTGTTAATAATTTCGATTTGTCTCCTTGTGGTTTAGAAGTTATGATTTTCGTTTCTATGGCTTGTAGTTTATTGCTATTTTCGTTTTTGGACTAATTTCTAACTTTAAAGTACAAGAGACTAAAACAGTAAAAAAAATTGTAAACCACATGGACCACCGGACTGTTACAAACTGTAAGGATAAACACTGCAATTTCTAAATCATAGGAATGAAAAAATCTCAAATGTTTAACAAACCACATGAACTAACTTAATATAAATAATATTATCTTATTTTTGTAAAAATAATATTTTTATATACTTAATCAACAATTAAATATTTTAGTTAAATTTATAAAGTAAATTACGATTTTGTCCCTGTGGTTTATTAAAAGTTGCAATTTTGTCATATGGTTTAAAAATTGTGGTTTTCGTCTCTATGGTTTGTAATTCATTGCTATTTTCGTTCTTATAATTTACAATATATTGTTGTTTCGGTTCTTGTGATTTACAACTTTGTACTGTTTTGGTCCCTTGTACTTAAAGACAAAAATTAATCCAAAGATGAAAATAACAATAAATTGCAAACCATAAGGATGAAAATTGAAAATGTTAACAAACCACAGGGACTAAAACCAATTTACTCTAATTTATATTATTAAATTAAACTGTATATAAAAATCCGTCTATTCTCCTTGGGCTCTCCGTTCTCAACAAATGCAAACAAGTGAACAACTCATCCCCATACATATATACATCTCTTATCGCCTTTCTTAGCTATTCAAATTCCCCATTTTACCCCCATGTCGACATCAAAAACACATACCACGTAGGGGCATTTTGGTAAATTCACATGTTTTTATACCGAATCGTCTTATATATTGACCTACTAGCCATTTTTCAGAATCCGAAAACAAGTGTATATTCAAAGAATATTATGTCATTCGAGCTTCCATCAAACCTCCTTCCAAATGAAGCGAGCCCCGAGTGGTTGAACAAAGGTGACAACGCTTGGCAAATGACCGCGGCCACGATGGTCGGTCTACAAAGCGTCCCGGGATTAGTCATATTGTACGGTAGCATTGTTAAGAAGAAATGGGCCATAAACTCGTGTTTCATGGCACTTTTCGCCTTTGCTGCAGTACTGGTGTGTTGGGTTGGTTGGGGATACCAGATGTCATTTGGTTCGGACCCATTTCTACCCATTCTAGGAAGACCCGGTTTCGCATCACTACGTGCTAGTTACCTAGTCGAAAAAGCGTTTACTGGAAAATTGCCGAACGCGACGATGGTGTTTTTTCAGTTTGTTTTTGCCGCAATCACGTTGATCTTGATAGCCGGTGCTTTGTTGGGGAGGATGAATTTCTACGCGTGGATGGTGTTTGTTCCAGTTTGGCTCACGTGCTCGTATACCGTTGGCGCGTATAGCATATGGTGTCCGACCGGTTGGTTGGCCAAGAAAGGGATCATCGACTATTCTGGTGGTTACGTTATTCATCTATCTTCTGGAATTGCTGGTATCACCGCGGCTTATTGGGTAATTTTATCTATCGTTATTGTTGATTGAGATATAGTGGGTTTGATAATAAATTAAATACAAATTATGGAAATGTTACAAACCATACAAATCAATCTCAACGTTCCATCTGGTCTAACAAATATCTGGTTTCATAAATATATCGATTGTTTCCTAATATAAACCGTTGATCATAATTAATTAACTCTAATCATTTTTCATAAATATTCGAATCATAATAAATGAACGTTCATCATTCCATTAACCATTTTAATTGATTGGTTTGTACGTTTTGTAGCATTTCCATGGTTTGTATTTGATTTCTCCTCTACTGGATTATATATACATATATGTGTTACAATAAGTTTATAGAACGTTTTTGGACATCTTAACAAGTTTTTTAAAACATTTTTTAAATAAAACATATAATTAATCTTTTTATGTGATATTACTAGAAAAAATGTCTTATAAAAATAAGTGTAATGTAAAAAAACTAACATGACATTTTATTTCAATAGTGTTCCAAAAAAATTGTTAAGACGCCAAAATACGTCATAACATGCTATTGTAAAACATTTATATAGGTCACACAATTATTTGATCTTAAAAGGTTGTTAATTTACCTCTTAATGGTTCCAGTAAGAGGCAACATCTGAATCGTTAAGACTCTTAAGAGGTGAATCTTGTTTGGCAAAAAAAAGGTTTGTCTTTTAATGGTTCTAAAACTCTCTGAATGATTTTGTATCATGGGCCTCCCTTAACCGTTCAGCGCCTTAATTTCATTGTAAACAATTACCATACAATTATATTTTATTTTGCAATATATCATTAAAGTCTCTTAATCATTCTGCACCAGACCATTCAGCAACTGTCAAACAGCTCGTAAGTCTTATAAAGGAGGAATTAAAACATTTAGACATCTTTTACGGCATATAAAGCCGATTTTGTTGTAATATTAAATATCTTTTTTTGTCGCATAATGAAATTTGCCGAAAAACGTTTTGCTCGATGTGGTGATCATAGGTCGGACCGAGGGAAAGTAAGGATCGTGAGAGGTTTCCTCCGAACAACATACTGTTGATGCTTTTAGGGGCAGGACTACTATGGATGGGTTGGACCGGGTTCAACGGGGGCGATCCTTATATGGCAAGTCGGGATGCATCACTAGCGGTCCTTAACACACACCTGTGTGCGGCCACGAGCCTCCTAACATGGCTCATGCTCGATATCTTGTTCTTTGAAAAGCCATCAGTTATTGGTGCCACTCAAGGAATGATCACCGGCCTCGTATGCATCACCCCGGCCGCAGGTAACACTTACCCAATTTAAATAACGAAAATACTGATACAAATACAATCAAATTGGCTTTATAGAATGCCAAATATGTTTAAATGTTCTATTAGACTGCTTTATATAACAACTTTTCACGACAATTTTCAAATAAAGTGTCATATTGTAACATTTTTATATAAGAGGTACAATTGTTTGGTTATATACTCGTATAGACTTATGGGCTATTTGGTTAGTTTTTCATTAAGTCATATATGGATAAAGATGCCTATGTAGATTAATCTGTCTGAGAAGATTTTTGTTTGGGGGGGATTTTTTACATAGATGAAAATAATGTGTTTTCTAATTGGGAGGGACAAGTTTTGGAAGAAAAAAAACTTGGTTTTCTGAATGAAGCTCCCCCCGAAGCTTACCGGATAAGCTATTTTATATACCATTAAGCTACTACAAAACAGTCATTGTCCTAAGCTCATTAAGCTGCTAATAAACAAACTCAAGTGTTTTGATTGTCTTATAAAATCGTTTATTGAACAGGGGTTGTGCAAGGCTGGGCAGCAATTATAATGGGATTGTTATCTGGTAGCATACCATGGTTCACCATGATGGTGGTACACAAGAAAGTGTCATTATTGAAAGAAATCGACGACACGATGGCAGTGTTCCACACCCATGCAGTGGCGGGGTCGCTAGGTGGTTTTCTAACCGGTTTGTTTGCCGAGCCACGGCTAAACCGTATTTTCTACGACGTAACCGATGGGTGGCAACATTACATAGGGCTCATTTACGGCTTAAAGATGGGACTCCCGAGGGCTGGACTCCGTCAAATTGGCATTCAGATGCTTGGAATACTGTTCGTGGTGGTCTGGAACGTTGTCGTAACTAGCTTGATTTGTATCGCGATTAGGGTTGTGATCCCTCTTAGGTTAAGTGACGAAGAGTTGGAGATCGGGGATGAGGAGGTGCACGGGGAGAGTGCGTATGCGTTGTGGGGGGATGGGGAGAAATTCGAGAATTCAAAGCGTAATTCCGCTCATGGGTTTGATGAGTTTTCAGTAAAGGAAGGAAGTAATTTCCGATAACGCTTTACGTGAAGTTGAAATTTGTAAATCTGATGCAATATTGTTCTAATAAAATTGTACCATGATCTTCTTCATAGCAACTTATAAATATAACGAGCAAGTTTGGAAGAGACTGATCGAGAATTTTTTTCAAGTCGCGAAATCATTTGACTATAACTGAAGACACTGTATATATTTTTCTTAAAATCACCATTGATCTGATCTCTTGGTTAATTTTCTGTTTTTTTGTATATGAGGTCCTGTATTCGAGTATTTTATTAAAAAAACTTTTAAAACATAATAAATTTGAAACTAAAAGCTAAAACTAAGAAAATAGAAAAAATGACAATCAGATCCGTGTCTGAAAGGGGAGAAAAGACCGAAGAAACCAACGCTAACGGAAGAAACTTAGGGACCGTTTACCAAACGCTTACCCGGGTAAGCGCTTACCAAGTCAAATTACCTTATCGAAATAATATGACAAAAACCAATAATCTTACCTGGTAAGAGCGAGACTAGGAACAAGAGTCTTACGTGGTAAGTGAAGGCGACGACTCTTACCACGGTAAGAATTTATCAGGTAAATTATTGCATACGGTGCCGTTTTAGTGGATTAAAATCTTACTCAATAAGTAAGTAATAATGTTAAATTTTACAGATAAACACTTATCGAGTAAATTTTTGGTAAACGACTCCTCATTTTTATTGTAACTCAGGAAATATACGTCTACACATAACACACTTACACCCAATAAGATATTTTCCTCTTGAGCTCGCATCTTTGGATTAATGACTATCACATCCCTGGACTTTTTTTCTTTCATTTTTTACACCTTTAGCCCCTACCTTGAACCATCTATTACTTTTTAGGTTAAAAATTAAGGTGTTACAAAAATGTTGGTTAAATAATTTTGAATTAATCACGTGTACTTGTACAATTATATTTGCACAAAAACTTTGATTACAACCGGCCCCACATAGAATCCATTTTTAAGAAAATAAATGTAAAAGTGTATTTTCTTGCTCACTCAACAGATTAGGCTAATGAAGAGTCTCAGATGGAACCCATAACTTGTTTTGTATTTGGTCAAAATTGCATCATCCATTTGTCAACTGAGTTAAACGTCAAAAGCAATTATGTATGTATGTATGTATGTATGTATGTATGTATGTATGTATGTATGTATGTAAAGGAGGTTTACTTTGCAAACTAATAATTTTTCATTTTGCTCATTTTTTTTTTGTAATTATAAGAGGTTGATTAATCATTTTTATTGGGGAGGGTGTTAATCATGGATATTATCATTTTTATTATTTTAATTTTAGAGAAATACATGAAACAGTTTCATTAAGTATTATATGAAACAATTTCATAACCATATATGAAACAACTTAATCAAAAAAAGTATTATATGAGACAATTTCACAAGATTAAACAATTTCATAATTTTTTTTATAAGATTAAACAATGAAATCGACGGATGAGGACGGTTTGCACGGTTTGCACAAATTGGGTGGTTTGCATTTGATTACTACTCTATATATGTGTGTATGTATGTACGTACGTACGTACATATGTATATATAGATAGATAGATAGAGAGAGAAATGATATATATTTTATAAACTCTACCATTAATACAAACCATATAAACCAATTATTTGAGAAATTTATAAAAATGATGAGAGTTTATTCATCATGATTTGAATATTTATGTAATATTATCAGAGTTCATTTATTATAATCAACATTTTATATAAAAAAACAATTGAAATATTCATTGAATCAGATACATATAAGTTCAATAGTAAACTCATTTTCGATTGTGAACCAGGCGACAAAGAAGAACGCGACACATGTTTGTAGCGTCCACATTCAATATGAACAACAAAGATGAATGTTCATGAACTATTCATGATGAATAATACAACATTCATGATCACATATTCATCATGAATGATACATTATTCATGATGAATAATTTATGAAGGTGTAAGACACATGTCACGCTCTCCTTTGTCTCTCAATTCACAACTGAAAATCGGTTTTCATTTAAACCCATCTCTCTCTCTCTCTCTCTCTATATATATATATATATATATGAGAAAAAAAATCTAGACACAACTATAATGGATTAAATAACATAAAATACCCAAATTTTTTATATAAAAATAACAATTTCATAGAGAAAATATTAATATTTCGTCGAATTAAAATTAAAATTGAAATAAAATATTCCTTTGTTTTCACTGCTTTACTTTCTACACCGCTTCATGTCCTTGGGCCTCAGCTAATGCACCTTGTATCATGCTTGTTTTTCACATCACCTATACACAAAAAGAGACCAATATGTGAATAAAGATGGTGATTTTATTTGCCCCGTCCCGATCTGGTAAAGAATCCGGCTCACTCGACTCGAATGGGGACGGGGATTTCTCGCTAAAACGGGTCCTGGGGCCGGGCTGGAAATCTCCGGTAGACTCAAACTGGGGTTGGGGTCGGAGCCGGGGATCCTTGGTAGACTCAAACTAACGGATATTTTTCATGGGGTTTGACTGGGGACGAGATGTTAATCTCTATACCCGCCGGGTACCGGGCCGGGGCTAGGGCCGGGGCTAGGGCCGGAGGTTGTTACTAAAAACAAGGCGAGCACACCCCGGTTTCCATGTAGGTCCGACAATTGGTAAAATACTGTTTCGACCTCTCAACGGCTTATACAGACATGATAAATCCTTCCGTCCATCATGTGATTAGGAAATGAAAACAAAGATGAAAAAAATATGAAGCAGAAAAACGGGGAAATCTTTTGTTTCACAACTGAACCAAGACACCCTATATATACACTTTAGACAGCTATAAAATGAGACTTGTTTATTTTTTTCAAAATTATCTTTTAATATCTCTGAAATCTAATTCATTCAGACGTTTGGGTATTAAGAGTGTTTGTTTAATTTTTAAAATAAGAGTTTAAAATCTTTAAATGTCTTCTGAAATTTTAAGTGGTAAATGTATCCCTTAATATCTCTTAATCCTAATCCGCCCTCTATCACATGGTTAATATTTTGGGGGCTGGAAGAGATTTGTTAGCAAAAAAAAAATATCATCATTTATACTTTTGTAAATAAACAATTTATCTTTTATATTTTTGCACTAGTTTGACTGATTCAGACTTCAGACGTAAAAACAAACAATCTTACTGATCCAGATTTCAGACTTCAGGACCATCTCTTATAAATCAGAAGTGAAATCAGACTTCAACACCTGTTAAAAAACAAACGCCACCTAACTAAGTGACATTACAACTAACTAACTAGCTCAATCTAACAAAAAGACCCAATACTTTAGAACTTTGGCTTCTTACAGGATCAAAAAGACTTGTTAATTTAACATAATTAAACCAAAATTAGTCAGTATATTCTACTTAAAAGTAGGATCTGAAGGGTAAGATGTATGCAGACATGTTTTCTATTATAAAGGGCAAAAATACTGTTTTTTGCAAAAACCCCGTTACGTTAATCAAATCCGAAATGTAGTATGTTCAGATTTGTTTTGTAGTGAGCAAGTGAGGTTTTTCCCTTGAGGGGTAATAACAGAAAGAATAGCCAAAGAAGTTTAGGGAGGTATTTACATAGTTTGTAGCATGGTTGCTTAAACGCCGGATCATCTTGTGGTGATGGAGGCTCCTGTCCGAAGATCATCTCACAGCTCATATCATCAAAATCTGTAATGATCACCGTATAATTTACTGTTATTTTGATTTATGATTGATAATACTGTATTTGTGATGGATTTTAATTTGATTCCGTATACTTACTAGGAACCATGTTGATTGGGATGCCAAAAGAGTTCTTGATGAACTCTTGTGACGGCATCTTGCAGAGATTAGTGCACATTCCTGCACAATTAGTCGATTCTAGAAACCTGAATTCAATCAATTGTTATCGTTGTTAGAATAACCTAGAAGTGTACTCGCACAATGCAACCAGATACATCTTGATTTTATGTGTTTTGTTTTTTTTTTTGTCTTAGTCGATGTTATAATATGATTTTATGTGGTTTTGAGAAAACGATAATGTTTTTATTTTTGAATAAAATATAAATATGAATATATCATAAAAAATAAACTAAAAATATTGATATTGTTACCAGACTAACTATTTAAAATTTCTCATTTTTTATGTATTTCTTTAATTCATTTTTTTATTTTTATTTAATAATATAATTTTTTATAAAGATAATAATTAAGTATTTTTTTTGTAAGGGTGTCCGCGCCAAAGCCCGACTAATCCCCGACAATTTTGGAGGCTAAACATGGCCCCTCATAAATGTCGCTAACACTCCCCTCCCAGGACTTGAACTCGGGTTCATGACTATGTCATGCCCAAGCCTTACCACTAGGTTCATAATTAAGTATTTTGTTAGAACTCAATGATTATCCTAATAATATATTAGTTTTTTTATATTTAAAATGAAATGTTTATTCTCTATTTGATTATATTTATCTGAAGTTAGTTACACTAATTCAAACATAAAGCTTTAATAAGTTATACTTACCCACAATTTACTTGTAATATTAAATTTTAAATAATATACATCAATAAATAGTACTTCATGCATAAAAATGAATTTTAAGAGTTTTTTGTCAAATGCTTTATAATATAGTATAGATAGAATATGACAGTATAAATCTTATTTCTTATGTATATGTACCTGCATTTCTTTACGTGGACAACATTTTTCTCTTTATGCCCTTCAAACTCAGACTCTGTTACCTTTGATTCAAAAACACAGTAAATGACATGTGTTAAGATAAGCAAAATCTCTTCATATTACTTTATAAAAGAATCATCAGATAAAAAATACAGGTTCCAACATATATAAAAGAAAAAAAATTATGTCCAAGTCTAACTGATGTGAGACTTCAACAACAAATATAAGAACTTTAAAGTGATACCTCACAAGGACCAACAAGCCACGGGAAGAAGATAGTGGTGAAGGTTGCAAAGTACTCCCTTGAGAACTTGGAAGGTGGCATCATATTTTTTATCTGTTCGATACTCGTACAACAATACAAATTAAATTTAAATTTAAATTAATATTTTTCATTTGAAAAGTTGTTTTATACAGTTTTTTCAAATAATTTTCATTTTTTTTGGAAAGCATCACAAATAATAGAGTTCAATAATTTTCAAAAAGAAAATTACATAAAAAAATAACGTACTTTAATTTGATTTTTATTTTGGATAACGTACTTTTAAAACCTCCATTTTGGTATCTAAGATGTAAAATTTTAAATATTTAAGTACACAGGTAACCAGTTGAAGACTAATTTTAGATTAAAAAATCAATGCGACTAATCACGTTAGCAAATAATACTGAATTGGATACCACATCACTCGCCACATCAGCATGATAATCGGTTAATGCTTCAATCAGTTACCTGAGTACTTAAATGTTTAAAACTTTACATCTTAAATACCAAAAATGAAAGTTTTAAAAGTACGTTGCCCAAAATAGAAATTAAATTAAAGTACGTTATTTTTTATTGCAATTCACCTTTTTTTTCAATTATATTAGAGACATAATTAACTTCCAAAATTTGAGATTCTGAAAATTAGGTTATTTAAAATATGAATAAAAAATATACTTTTTTATTTTTTTTGCAAATTTTTTATCTTTTATTTATATTTTAAAAGAGATATGAGAATCGACTATTTTAGTGCTTAAATAATTCAAAAAAAGAATCGTGATGCCATTTGGCGTTCGGCTAAACGCATCAAAACGACAAGAACAAGGAAAAAAAAGACTTGCCAGAAAGGCGACAGGCCACGGAATTGCAGTCTGAAGAGCCTTCACGACAAGTTGGCGTTGTTTGATCGGGTCAAAGCTCCGGAAAACCGCTCTGGCCGCCACCACCAAGCTCTCATACCCGCTCTCCTCGTTTCTCAATTCTGCATTTTAACCCCACAACAAAATTAGAAATTCAAACCCGACACCTATTATTTCATGAGACAACACGTAACCCAATTTTCCAACAAATTTAAATCATAATTAAGCCATGTAAAAAAAATGATCATGTGATTAAATAAAAGTGGCTTACAGGGTCTTATAAGAATATATAAACAAGATAACATGATACAATATTATTTCAAGATATTACAGAAAACTAGTAATGAACAAACCAGCAGAGTCTTGGACAGCTTTGGAGAGGTGATTAATGGCAATATGATCAAACCAATTGTCGTTATAGACTGTCTTTATTGGAATAGTAACTGTATTATAACTGCTTGTAGTCTCTGTCTTCAAACCGTTAGTAGAAGTGGACGGTGTTAATACAGATACAACCGTAAGACGATTACACTTTGGCCAACGAGCTGTTGGCGGCACAAAGGACGTTATTCTGATCGTGGCCGGGGTTGAAAAAATGGTGGTTTCCATGGATTATGAGAAAAGTATTGAGGTTGAAGAATAGATATATGGATACATATATATATATATATATATATATATATATATATATATATATGTATATATGTATGTGTGTATGCATAATAGATACAAAATAGGGACACAAGAGAATCTTAATAATCCTCTTGTTTGGATACCTCGTGCCCTCACTTTTATTCATTTGTTTATTGTTACGTCACATTTTAACACATGCTAGAAGTTAAAATGGTCCGGCTTAACAACCACTTATGAATTCTTACTTCTATTAATATAATATAATTTGGATAAAAAATTGATTACTGATAATTTTAACTGGTTTTATACAGAATTCGATTTTAAGGACACTAATGTAAGTGGACATTTTTTTAACTTACTAAGTGGTTACTGTTAGCAGGAAACGTCGCCCCACATATTCTTCCCAATTGTTTAACTTCTTATATTTGTTTTTAGTTTCTCGTTTTTTACGATAAAAAAGCTGAAGATTTACATAAAACATAAATTTTTTTATTATTCATGATAAATACACAAAACCCAACAGAGTCACGACTCTTTTGAGAAAAGTCATACATCGGCTTGACTTTAGATCACATATATATATATATATATATATATATATATATATATATGAGTGATCATATGAAAACCGCCTTCATTTGTGTAAACCGTGCAAACCACCTTCATCTGTCGATTTCATTGTTTAATCTTATGAA